GTGGAAGAGTTCAGGTCTTAGGAGGTTAAAGCAGCCAGACTCTCCTGTAATGTTTTTTCTTTAGACATTTTCTTCTTTATTTTCTCTCATTTTTAGTCCAGTTGTTGCACCTGACCAGTTTCAGAAGTATGTTTAAGCAATTTAACTCTGATCTATAAATCATTCAATCATAAAAAGGTACATAACAGATGAACCATTGTTGTGTCTACACACAGTAGAGAACTTAGTAAAATAAATAAATAAATAGTATCTTTAGGCACTTTGTTACATCTTTATAGGAATCTGAAAAATGCCCAAAATAACACAGCTTAAAGAAATTCTAAGAGAATTCAGGCTGTGTGAAGAAAAAAGATGATCATATCACAGATCGATTTTCAAGCTAATTAAAATTGTAAAAACTCTGTTTTTGCTCAAACATTTGCTTATATTTCAATAGACTGATGCACCCATTTAGACATTTTCCTAGCAAAATATAAAAAAAATTAGGAGCAATTTAAGTCTTTTGCACTGAATTGTAACTCCTTAGAGCATCATGTATAAAACACGCAGTATTAGCTCAGCTGCACTCAGTGCTGTTATGATGCTGACTGATAGATCTTGGATGAACGACGGTGGTGTTGACTGAAGCTCCATCACCAAACTTGTGTGTGTTTTCCAGCCATGCAGCAGTGAGAGAGCAGGTGCAAGAGCTTCAGCAGCTGGAGGTCTGTACAAGTGCAATTGTTATTTCTTCTTATTGTTATATTATCCTTATTTATTTATTTTTGAGCTACACAAACTTAACCCTTAAGGACCCACAGTGACACTGGTGTCACTGCCCCTTTACACTTAGAGACTTGGTTATATATGATTCATTTGATATAAGACCCCCGTAATTTTCATGAAAGTAGAAATAGGTTTGGGCTCTTAAGGGTTAAAATTAAGCTTATCTGGTTGAAATGAGTTTAAACTAAACCCATGACCAGTTCCTTTTGAACACTTTAAACTGTCTATTTCTTTGTGTGTGTTTGTGCTTGCAGAAAGAATGGGACTCTTTCCTGGAGAGTGTGGACAAAGATCTGCAGACAACAGATGTGCAGCTGTCTGGAGGAAAGACGGCCGACAGTCTGAGCCCAGATACTCTATTCACCGATGGAAGAAGTGGAAGGTAAGTTTGCAAACCAGGCCTGGTTTGTGGTGCACCAGCAAAAACCAGTTCAGAGCATCAGCTGGTTTGAGGTGATGTGTGTTGTTTCTTAACTGACCAACCTGGGAAGACCATGTAGGTTTTTTTGTTCCATGAAAACCAGAGATGTGTTTGTTCATTGTCTTGTGTTGTATTTGAAGGAGTGTGACTCTCAGTCAGTACCTGGGTCAGGGTCAGAACCTGCTGCTGGTTCTCCTCAGACATTTTGGATGACTGCTGTGACGAGACCACGTGACCGAGCTGAAGGCCAATCAGGTCAGCGTACCTTTATTCTTATTCCACTAGAAAAAACCATCGCCATACTGATTGAACTCCAACACTGAAAAACTACAGGCACTCAAAAAACAAAAAC